CAATGAATCACAGCTCAGAATGATCAGCACGATCCTGTCATGATCCAGCAGCCTCACTATTAGTAACACACCTTCACTGCCCCAGAGCTTGCATGATGTGAATCAACTGCAAAAGCTTCTTTAAACCTCTGAGTTCACCACACCCTTATCAGGTTTTCACTCTCATTTCATGTTGCCACACTGTATTCCCGTACATTTGCCAGGCTGTGAATAGCACACGCTACTTCCTCGCCTTTATGAAGTGAGCGTGCCTTTAACATAGCCCGTGCTTCCAGCTGAGGGGAGGGGTGGTGCTGGTGCTGCTGGATTTGGAAGAGTTATATTTGTTCTCCTTTCAGTATTAAAGATTAACATGGTCCCAGGCATCTTCACTCTCCCTCCACCTCCCTCCCGCTGCCTGTTCTCTTTCTGCCAGTATTAACTCAATTCTTTATTTAGAAACAGGCAGTTAGTGTAGCGTGGGCCCGAGAGACTGCACACCACAGCCCTGTCAGGACTACTAGATGTAGGTTACTTCGCTCAGACGTGACATAGGAGCCAGCATCTAGGCCAGGAGAGCCAGAGCAGGCAGAGCTGACGCACGCTGCCCCAAAGAATCACCCCCATGTGAGGAGGGAAGTGGGCAAGGAGGGATCAACTGGGGTCAGTGTGCCTCTCTGGGGCCGCTCTGACTCACCTTCAACAACTTGATTGTCCCTGGAGGAGTTTGTCATGGATCTTGGAGTCAAAGTTTGCTTTCATACTAGTCCAGTGGTACTTCTGAGTAAAAGAGACTCATAAAATATGTATGTGGGGTAATCAGGTTGTTAGTTCTTAACTGTTGCAAATCTGCAACGTCTGCCTGGAGAGGGTTAATTGGCACTTTTAGGTTGGTGTCACGTGTTTTCTGACTGCTCCAAAGTTTTTGTCCTGCATCTATAAATAAAAATAAAAACAAATGAAATGAATTTGTGCCAAAGCACCTCAGGGGCTGCCCCGATGGTGCATTACTAGTGTGCCTTTTGAAAATCCTTACAAAAACTGACAGGGAACTAATGTAAAGGCTTTTAAATCAGTACTCAGGCAGCTCTGAATCATTCATGTCTACCCTCCTGTCCTTAAGAGGTAAGTCTCAATAGGTGTCTACCTTATGTGAACCCGTTGACTCATTGAATTTAGCGTTGCTGCAACAGCTAATCAGGTCAGTGCGTTGGCTATTTGCACATGCTTTAATTTATTATTACAGAAGATGTTTGCACTACTCTGCGCTTCATTTTTAAAATAGATGGCTAGCCTTTGTTGTCTAGAAAGATTGCAAATCAGCCATTATATATTGCTTTCATTATTAATATTATGTATGTTTAATGTTAGTGTTGTGAGCTATGCAAGCATTGTTGCTTGTGTGTGCTCTTTCTTAAGTACCCTTTAGCAGTAGAAGTGTCTGCTGCTGACATGTCAAGCTCTTGCTCGCTGTCAGAGCCGTTCTGAAGCACTCGGAGCACAGGGTTGATCAGCACACAGTCAGGGTGAGACTTGATGTTTGCCCCAAGATGTGGGTGACTTTAAAAACTCAAATGCTTGAGTCACTTTCAGTTAATCTCCATTCCCTGAGTTCTGTAACCAGGGGATTCACTGTCTGTTAAATTCATTTCACTGTCGGTCTCATTCGTGATTTGGACATATTGTGTAGTGCAGCTTAGTATTTGCTAACCCTTCTTCTCTGTTATGTCTCTTCAGGCCTACAACCGGCACAACTTCATCCCCTCGTCCTGCCACGGGCTCATCTCGGCCACCTACTAGCGGCAACGCCAAGAGCTCCCCTGCTACAACCAAACCTGCCACTCCTAAAACTCCCTCTGCCGCCGCCAAGCCGGCTACCCCCAAACCAACCTCCACTACCCCCTCTGGTGGCAAACCTCCATCTCAAACATCCAAAACCACAACCCTTGTGAAAAAAGGTAAGGAAAAAGAAATGAGAAAAGAAACACAATAGTATTTGATACCAATTAATAGCAAGTATTATGACTACTAACACAAAAGAAAAGGAGATGTTTTTAAGATGCCAGTGATGAATAAAGCTCTGGATGATGGGTACTTCCATAGTTTTGGGCTAACAACTGACACCCCTTGATTAAAAATAAATAAATAAATGAATGAAAAAGCAGATCTGGAAAAGTTGTGATGGGGTGCTAGTCTGTACAGAAGCCTGCTCGTCGCATTTTGCACCAGCTGCAGAGGAAATAGGACTACCTGTAACAAAACAAGAGTCGAGATGATGTTTCTGACAAACGTTTTCCATGCACTAGTAGGTAAACACAGGGGTGAATAATCGTTTTGATAAAAGCTCTGCACTAAATACAGATGAGCGTTAATTAACGTCATTAGTAACACCTGTGTTTCCCTGCTGTGCGCTGGGAAAATGGACTTCTGAATGAGTGTTTATTCAGGGATGGTGTGTTAAAGGTCTTTCTCTGTGTTACTGGGACAAAAGGGAAAATAAATAACCACAAAGAGAAAATGAACAATACAACTACTGTTAGCATCAGCTGTCAGCCCACCACTGGCAGCTGTGCCTTTTAAACCAAAGACAAAGAGGTTTTGGAGCAGTAGCAGAGCTGAATATTAAGACTTCATTCATGTTTTGGGTCAAATGCATGACATTGTCACTGCCACTTTAGGCATCCACAAGTCTGATCACCAGGTTTTAAATCGAAGGTACAGCTGGGTGTCATCGGTGTAAGAGTGGTAGGAGATCATCTGTTAACATATCATGGAGTGGAGATAGAGAAGTACTGTAGGAGTACATTTTAACTACACACATATGCATGCACATGAAAGGCGTCACACTTCTTAGTCTTAAATAAATAAGTAAATTGTACCGTACAGACTGTAATTATCAGGAATGGAGCGGCCACTGCAAAATATTCCTCATCCTGTGGACAGACTCCAAGCAGCACCAGTCTGGTTAGAGTGGCCCTCCAGCAGAACTCTAGAGCAAAACAAGACATTGAATTCTGGCTTTGAAACAGGATCAGAGACACTGATACCCGTCACAGCAACCTGTACAGTCTGCCCTCCTGTGACAAAACAGGCTGGTGAGCAGTGGCTGAACTTTAAAAACAGGAGTGAAGTGTTGTCCAAAGTAAAGTGATCACATCATTTCCTCAGATGGATGTAAAAATAAAACATTAAAACATAAAATGTGTTTATGTCTGCCCGCTCTAGTATGTTATAATTATGTGTAAGACTGATATGTGTTTTATGGGTCTGAGATCTCACAATAAATGAATAAATTCATAAATTTCAATTTTATATTCCATATATTTGGCCTGATTACAGTGTTAACTACAGAAAACTCAGTGGTGACTTTGAAGGGATCAATAAAACGTTGTTTGTCTGCTTCCTGTTTACAAGGGGTTGCCATAGCAGATGGATCCACATGTTTGATTTAGCAGATTTTTATAGGGGATATTCTTCCTGACACAACCCTTCTAAGGTTTTTTCTTCTGGGTCTTGACTGTACATTATGCAAATGTGTTAAACATTACACTGTGGGTTTAATCATCAATGATGTGTTTTAATTTTCTACAATATCACATTGTTAAACCACCCCTTGTGTGCTTTTGTGCGTTTTTTCTAGATGTCACCAAACCCTCCACGCCAGCAGCCAAAAAGCCTGCAGACTCCCCCCTTACTCGCCCTTCTTCTACAACGAAGTCAGCAAAATCCGAGACTTCCAAGTCCGCTTCAAAATCAGAGGTCACTGCTAAAAAGCCTGCTACTAACAAGCCAGCAGACACCAAAACACCTAACCGCCCCAAAACACAAGAGAGCAAGCCTACACCAGCTAAGACTCCTGGCTCCAAAACCAAGACCTCCAGCCCCAAGAAAACTGTGGGAAGCAGCACACCAACTCCTGTTAAACGCGCCCCTAAAGCTGCCACAGCCGCTGAACCTGAAAAGGAAGTTGCCGCAGCTGTAGCTGCTGCGGCAGCGATTGCTGCCACAGCAGCTGTTATTGCTGTGCCAGAACAACCAGAGCCTCCTGCAGAACTAGCTGTGGAGCCATCCATTACAACTCCTGAAGAAAAATCAGCAGAGCTCACACCAGAACCAGAACTAGTCTGTGCACCAGTGGCTGAATCAGTTTGTGAACCAAAACTAGAACCCGCACGGGAATCCATACCAGAACCCGCCAGGGAACCTACACCAGAACCTGCAAGAGAACCCACACCAGAGCCTGTCAGGGAATCCACTCCAGTATCTGTAAGAGAACCCACACCAGAGCCTGTCAGGGAACCTACAC